ATTTTAAATTTTAATTTAAAATTTTCATATTCAGATTTTGAATAAAGGAGGAAGAGATTTAGATGAAAGGATTGGCTATTAATTATTGTATAATTGATTTTTAATTATATATATAAAAAAAGAAAAACCTGTGAAATGAGTAATAAGTTGGGATGAAGAGTTTATAAGTTTTAGCAAGTGAGAATAGAAGTTACAACTAATTATCCTCTATATTATTATAATTTTGTTAACAATCTAAATAATTTAGTGGTAGTCAATAATTTAAATAATTTAAATAATTCAATAATTATCTTCTTTCACTGAAAATAAGAGATCTTGAGTTTGAATTATATAATATGCAAATGAAGTAGGATAAAAGATGTAAAATGATTATCTTTTATTATGTAATCAAGATAAAAAAAATTAGTGATAATTTTATTTAAAAAAATTTTAAATTCAAATCAAATAGTATGTATGCATACCTATAAAATAAGTTAAAGAACAATAAATAATTATATTTTATTATACAATTTAAATAAAAATAAAAAAAATTAAGATTTGAGAGTTAATTAAGTGAGTGAATAGAGCTAGCTAATTTTGAAACAATGTTATAATTTTTACACTTAAAGGAAGTTTTAATAATTTCATTAATTCCATAGCGTAAATTCCAAGCCAATCAAAATTAATAAATCGTGGTAGGACCACCAATTTCTTATGGACCCTCCAAGCACCCGATTCTCATTCCTCTTCACTAATCCAAGTAACTAAACAGCATAAAATCTTCTTCTATAAAAAAAAAAATTATAAGAAAGAATATTCTAACAAAAAAATATATTTTTTAAAAGTGTATTTATTATATTTTTATTTTTAATTTGTATAAAAAATAAATATTTACTTTAATTTTATTAATTATTCAATTAAAATATTTTATTTTGAAGTACTTTGGTGTTGAAAATAAAATATATTTTATATATTTTTATATAAATTAAGAGAATTACACAATAATTCAAATTAAAAAAGAGCACCTCATTGAACTAACGGTTTTAGTTAGGTGTTATTAATTCAAATTATATAATAAGTTTATAATAAATTAATAGTAAAATGGTATAATGATATAATGTAAAAAAACCCTTAAACAAAAGAGGATTCTTCTAATTTATAACTTTAAGAACATTTTTTTAATATTAATTATCATTAAAAAATAAAATTTAATATTTATTTAATTAATATCTACGATTTAAATAATACAGTAATCATCTCTTTTCATTAAAAATAACAAATTTTGAATTCGAGTCGTATTAGGTATTAGTGAAGTAGGATAAAAAATGAGAGATAATTGTCTTTCATTGTACAATCAA